CGGGATACTGGGTCATCGTTTCGAAATCTCTGCCATCATTTTTGGAATTCTAGGCCATCTTTTGGAATTCTAGGCCACTATTTGGCATCCTAGGCCACCGTTCCCACTTACAGTTCCCGAACGCCAACAGCAACCCAGTGGGTATCAGCTCCACACAGCACAACGTCACCATCAATACCGTAGTCCATGCGAGTCGTGCTCTACCGTGATCCGATGGGGATGATGTCAAATTTCCCATTTTCTTCGACTTATAGTTGTGCCAATACAAGGTTACTGTGACGAAAATCAATGTGGAAGTGGCACCGAAAAGGATGATGCAGGCGACACTGACTGAAGACATGCTCTTTTATTAGAGGTAAGAAAAGATGTAAAACCTACATAAAAGCCACTTAACAACCAACTGACACGTGGAACTTTCACAACTGATGGGACCGTCCACTGTGTCGGCTGCTTGAAATAGACCCATGGGGATCTAGAAAAAATAAAAAAAATGTTATGGGGTACAAATTTTAGAGCTAGAGGTCCTTACGGAAATAACTGCGGCTCCAATCCAAATCCCCACTGCAATGCACCACATGGCTTTGAAGGAGAGTTTATCCCGGTAGAATAGAGGTTTCATGACACCGAAATAGGTGATTACGGCGACTCCGGTGAAGGATCCTGCAGTGAATGTGGGGTGTTTTTGTTTGAAGCGTCATATCTTGGTTAGGAGCAGAGAAATCAAAAAATTGTCAACTAGAATCTTGTTTCCAAAGCAATTTTACATATTTCTTTAGTTGACTGCTTTTTTGTATCTCCACTTGGAGCCGAGATATGGAGCTGCAAACAGCCTGGTACCCCCAAAAATGAGGGGTTCCGTGCCCTTTTTCGAAGAACTCACCCAACAAACTAAAAATACTGAAATCATAGACCACAAAAAATATCGCATAGAATGTGAAAGAGTTTTCAAATAATCCATCCGAAAAGTGGGTGGACTGAACTAAAATAATGCAAATCGCCACAAGAATTGCAGATGAGAGACGAACAACCACGAAGACGTAGCGTTTTTTGGTTCTGGAAGAATAAAATGATGGGTATTAGGGTGTAAACGCTCAAAATGGGTTTTTACTGCAAAAAAAAACAAAAAGAAAAAAGATTTGGCACCAGGCGGAATTGAACTCGGGTCCTGAAATTCGAAAACAGTAGTGTTAACCACTGCGCCACGGCTTGCATCACAGTCAGGAAGGGAGAGGGAAATCAGATTATTGTTGTTCACCTCATCCTACCGCCGCAGGCTGAAGCTAGGAAGAGACTATCGTCAAATTCAGTGCCGAGTCCGCAAACACCGCCTGCTATCACCATTACGTCAGATTGCACATTTTTTTTTCATAAAAAAGGAAAACTCACTGCTCATTCAGCCTCCCCAACAGAAAAATCGTGACGCACAAGCAATAAATATCCACCAAAACCGCCAAAAAACAAATGGAAGATGGGATGTAAAATCCCATCCATAACCGGATCGATCGGGATATTGATAGGTCCTAAAACGATTAAAAAAATAAATTTAAAAAAAAAACCCAAAATCCCACAAAAAAAACCTTTATCAACTGGCATGGATCCGTGGCATTTGAGCATTTTTCGTAGTCTTTTTCGAATGAAAAATGTGAAGAGCACTCATCGAAAATGCTCATTTCTTAAAGAAATGAGACGATCGATATAATGCAATAAACCATCACTGATAAAAAAAATGTGTGTCGAAATGTTTCAGTCTGATAAAACATCATTTCTTTGGAGACGGGTTTAATTTATTACGCAGCCATTTCATCTGAAAATTTTGTGGAATTTAAAGTATATGATTAAGAGGAAAAACTTACTTGCAATTTTACTGTTTTCGAAATATTTCTATCGAAAAATATATTGATGAGAGGATCCGCCATGAAGACTATGGATCTGAAAGAAAGGAAAGAATGATTATATCTCGTTTGGATGGAGAGTCAGCAAATAATTGTCAATTACAAACTTTTTTAACAAATAATTTCACACATCTTACTAGTTGACAGCATGTTTTGTTACTATACTGATAACTGAGATATGGTGTTTTGAAACCAGGGAATTCCTAACCTGATGAATGGTATTTTTTGAAGACTGATTGCTTGGGGCAGGATATCTTGGCAGGGACTTGAGATATCAAAAAGTTATCAACTACAAACTTGTTTAGCAAGTAATTTTGCACAGTTTATCAGTTAACAACTTTTTTGTATCTCTATTCATATCAGAGATATGGATCTCCAAACTCCAAGAACCCCCTCCCCCTCTCCCGGCCTAGTAAACAGGACTTCCTGGAGACTTGCTGGCTTGAAGCACCATATCTCGGTTAAGAATGAAGATATAAAAACATCGCAGACTACAAATTTGTTAACTATGCAATTTTGCATATTTCATAAGTTGGTAACTTTTCTGTATCTCCACTACCAACAGAGATAGGAACCTCCAAAGTCAGCACACCCCCTTTCTTTCAGAGAAATTCTTGGAGACTTTTTGTTTGGAGCATCATATCTTGGTTAGGAGTGAAGATATCAAAAAATTATAAACAAGTAAAGTGTTTACCATTAAATTTTGCATATTTCTTTAGTTGGTGACTTTTTTGTATCTCCACTGCCAACAGAGATATGAACCTTCAAAGTCAGCACACCCCCTCTCTTTCAGAGAAATTCCTCGAGACTCTTTGCTTGGAGCACCATATCTCGGTTAAGAATAAAGATATCAAAAAGCTGTCAACTACAAATTTGTTCACCACACAATTTCACACATTTTACAAGTTAACAACTTTTTGTATCTTCCCTTGCAACCCAGATATACACCTCCAACTTACCCCAAAAAAGTCTCCACCGACGACACTACTGATTGAATCAACAATTGATCAGCCTGGTAAAAACTCTCACACTTTTTGAGATCGTCTAAAAAAAGAGATGAAAAATGAACGGGTTCTGGGAACGTGCTTTGATTGAATCCAATGATCATTCCGACTGGGAACAGTTCAATGAAACAGAATATGACGAGAGCGAAGAACGTCCAGGTGAGACGGACACGAGCACGACTCGTTACTTCGGGGACCTCTATTCCGTTCTGAAGAAGTGAACCTTCGATAAAAGGGCCTAGAATTGTCTTGGTTTCCGAACGTTCTCAATGAAAAAAGTGATAGAGGTGATCTTCTATTAGAGGCTTTCGTCTTTGAAAAACTCACTTTTAAAGCTTTAAAATGATACCAATACAACGAGATCACCACAAAACCCGTTAGTAAAACTGTTACAAGTAGAGTGACACAGGCGAAGGAAACTGAAAATATTTTTATTAAAGCGATGTTTGGAGCAGTGCATCTTGGAAGGGAAGAGAGATATCAAGAAGTTGTCAACTAGTAAAATGTTCATTAGACAATTTTGAATACTTTATCAGTTGACGATTTTCTTGTATCTCTACTGGGAGCCAAAATATGAGCATCTCTTCTATATACTAAGCGGCAAGCTCTGTCTGTCTGTGTGTGTGTGTGTGTGTGTCCAGCGCTTATCACTGAATAACTTTTGTGCCTCTCGACCGTTTTCTGCCATACTTGGCACATGGTCATGGGTCCCCGAGCGCTTCAATTCTATACCGTTTGGAGCTTGGGTTACTGTAGGATTACGGTAGCTACAGTAATCCGAGCTCCGAATCGAATCTAAAAACGGGTTCGAAGTGCTCAGAATCGTTCCATTTTTTGCATGTACTATCTAAGGGACCCCAATAGTACACCTTCAAAAAATGGTGGAGATTACTGTAGGATTACGGTAGTTACGGTACTCCAAAACTCCACGGACAAGCACTAGATAGATAACTTTCCAGAAACTTCTAGAAACTTCGAGAAAGTCAAAACATTTGATTATATTGGCGGAAATTAAAATTTTTAAAAATTTTGGCAGGATTTCAAATTTTCGAAATTTTTGGCGGGAATTCAAAAATTCAAGGATTTTCAGAAGAAGGCTTAGGTGCATTACTGCCAACGATTAAAAGTTTCAGCGTGGCAATCTAACCTCCCCCCCCTCCCATTGAGGAGCGCAGCGACAAACAAAAAGGAGGTGAGCCGCCGTAGGCGGCGCCACCGACTGGTTCGAACCTAAAGAGGCACCAAATACTCAAGTGATGGCTATTGTCGCTAGTTTGAAGCTTTATATCTCAGTTGGCAGTGAAGATATCAAAAAGTTGTCAACTAATAAAATATTCATCATAAAATTTTGCATATTTTGTTTGTTAACAACATTTTTGTATCTCCGCTGAGAGCCGAGCTACGGAGCCCCAAATTTCATAGACCTGTGTTTTGCCCTTTCACGAGTTGGAAGCACCATATCTCAGTTCCCAGGGAAGATATATCAAAATTGTCAACTAATAAAATGTTTATCATAAAATTTTGCACATTTTACCAGTTGACAATTGTTTTCTATCTCTCTCCGCAGCTAAGTTACATAGCCCCAAAGCTTACTCACAAGTAATCCACTCCACCACCTTCGCACAATACTTCTGATCACATTCGATTGGTCCTGGAACATTGCTAGCTGCTTGATACAAGCTAAGTGGGACCTGTACAAAAATTTGCTTATATGTTAAAGATTCTCAGCTCACTTACCGCTAGACACAGAGATAAAACCCAGATAGCTCCCAGTATAAAATAGAGAGCCTTCAGAGTTATTCTATTTCGATAGAATGAAGAATGCACCACACCGAAATAGGTGACCAAAGAGATCATTATATAGGATACTGAAATAAAATTTTGGTGCCGTTTGAAAGGAGGAAAAACTTACAGAGCAAACTGTCCATACTGAAATTATAGAAGGAAAATGAGACGGCATAGAAGGTGAAGGAGGGTGATACTTCATTTGTGAAAAGGGTGATTTCGAGGACAAGGAGGCAGAAGACTGCAAGGATGGAGGAGAGACTTCGACTGAGGACGAAGACGTAGTGTTTACGGGTTCTGGAAAAGTGAAAAAAGGATTTGACGCCGCGTGGAATTGAACCCGGGTCTTGAGATTACAAAACGGAGGCGTTAGCCACTGCGCCGCGGGGTCGCAACCAGATAGACGGGGAGAGGGCAATGAGAATGGTGCGCTTTCTGGTTTGTTTGCCTCTCCCCCCCCCCTCTCTCAATGGTCCGAGAAAAGTCTGCAAACACCACCACGCCAGATTGCAGACCACTATCAAATCGTAAAAATCCTTATCAACTCCCTTCATTTTCCCTCATTTTTCCCCTTTCCCAACTCACTCCTCACTCAAAAAATAATAGGTATAACATGCAGTGCCAAAGCAATAAATATTCAGAATCCCCGAAATCAAAAAACAAATTGTCGCCAGGTACAAACTCAGCCAATCGAATACCTCCATTGACACATATACTTTCTGAAAAAATATTGATTGCCCTTCTATTAGAGGTCATCGAATACCTGAATAAGGATGCATTGATTCGTTGTGTCTGTACAGTTTTCGAAGGCATTCTCGAATGAAAATATTTGGGTGCAATTCTCAAAAAAGTCATTGGACATTGAAATATAAAATATATGATGATCGATAGAAATTGGTGGTTAGTGTCTCAAGTGAGTCACTACTGATAAGAAATTGATTCTTCTTTTTCCTTTTTTTCCTTTTTCTGCCTTCGCGAAATTCTCGATTTCATTAGTGAGTACTGAAAAATAATGATGATTTATGGTTTTACCGAATTGTCGTAAGGTATGGTGCCAAGTCTGCGAACACCGTCACCTCAGATTGCAGACAAAAAACTATTGTGTCCTAGTCATATTTTCTCGAATCCTTCTGAAACTGAGGTTTTTGGCTGCTCGTGCGCCTCTAAAATCATGTCAGGACCCGACTTTTCAAGCAATAAAAACTTGCCAGGATACTGTAGATTTTTTTTCTATTTTCCCTCCAAGACCCATTTTTCTAGTTTTTTTCCCTCCTCCCTCAAAAACTCACATATCTAGTGACGGTTTCTGAGAATAGCGGATCAAAAGTGAGCGTGAAAATCGGATCGAAAAACAGGCCAATTGTCCATAAAAGTGTCAAAACGACACAAGAAATGACGAATTGTAGACGAGATCCACTGGCTTCCAGCATGTCACACGGGTTGTAGTCTGCAAAGTTTTTGATGGGTTTTAGTGTGGACAGCCGCTAGACAATAAGCTTAAACCGGTATATCTTGATTAGAAGTAGAGATATGAAAAAATGATCAACAAGTAAAATGTTCAGCTTGCAAATTTGCATATTTTATCAGTTAACAACTTTTTTGTAGCTGTACTACCGACCGAGATAGAAAGCTCCTAACCTTATGGCTACTCTGGCAAAGAGTTCCTTTTCTTTAAGACTAGATGCTTTTTGGAGCAGTATATCTCGGTTAGGAGCAGAGAAATCAAAAATTGTCAACTAAAAAATTGTTTCTTATGCAATTTCGCACATTTTATCAGTTGATAACTGTTTTCTATCTCCACAGGTAGCAGAGATATCAAGCTTGGAACTGGTAACATAGCAAAAAAACTGTTCAAAAAACGGGCTCGTCTGGAAAAGAGCCTTATATCTTGACTGGTAGTGAAGATACAAGAAACATTTTAAGTAATGAAATATGCCAAATTGCACGGCAAAAATCTTACTAGTTGTCAATTTCCGATACCTCCAGTTTTAACCAAGATATAAGGCTGCTACGGTGAATCGTCTCAGCTTTTTTTCCAATCTTTATCTTATCTCAGTTGAGAGCAAAGCTAGAAAAATGTTGTCAACTACAAACTTGCTCATTATAACATTTTGCACATTTTACTAGTTTAAAACTTTTTTCTATCTCTCCCCGCAACCGAGATATGAAGCTTCCAACTTTCTCACCTTGATCCTGCTTACTAACACTATTCACCAGCATAATAGCCGACGCAATTTCGAATATTGCCATAGTCCCAAAAGCGAAAAATCCTCCAAAAAGTTTCCGTTTTATTCCACTCATTGCTTTTTGTGTACTCGAAAAGTCTCCTCTCTGTTTCGACCTCCTTTCATGTCTCCACAAGGAAAAAAGTACAAATGATTGGGTCCCCAGGCATAAGGTGAAGGCAACGGATATACAGACGACTGGAAATACCCTATGTTTATTTTGAAGATCCCAGAAAAACCAGTACTTCCAAAAATCAATACCGGCTCCGCACAACTCGAATAATCACATAAAAACGGTGCGTACTTTCCCATGAACGCCGCCTCGACAATACCACAACCAATCTGTAGTCAAATGTGTAGTCAGAGTAGTTATTGTCACTTTTTGACCTACCGCCACTATAATCGCCGACGTCCAAAACAAGAACAAAATGGCGACACACTTTCGAAGTGACATTTCCCGAGTGTAGTACACCGGGTGGACGACGGCCACGTAGATTGTTAGGGTGGTACCGGCGATTCCGCCTAAATTTGCTAGTTACAGTAACCCTAGATCTTCGAAAATCAGGATTACGGTAGGCAAATTAGTCACTAAAAAATTAAAAAAAGAAAAAAAAAGAAACTGGCACCGGTCGGAATCGAGCCCGGGTTATCAATTTCAAAAACAGGAGCGCTAACCACTGCGCCACGGGGTCACAAACAGTAGGAAAGGGAGAGGGCCGTCATAATGATGCGCTCTCTTCACCCTTTCCGGTGGCAACAGGGCTGTCAGATGGCCGGCCGCGGCCTTTTGCTATAAGTCGGCCGCGGATAACAAATTTCGGGCCGTCTTTTTACCAAATCGCATAACTTTTTGTGCTCTACAAGGCCGCCTCTTGCATCGAAAAGATCCGACCGCTAGGAAGCGAGATATAAAAACGGCCGCGGCCCGATTTGACAGCCCTGGGTGGCAAGAAAAAAAACTCACCAAGTAACGAAAGAAAACTGAGCATTTCGAAAATGATGAACAAGGCGATGACCCAAAAATTGAAATGTGTCAGGAATATCATGGTGGGCAGTAGGAAAATGGATATGATGGACATTGTGGAGGAGATCGCACGGCTTAGAATGAACACGTACTTTTTCTTTGATCTGGAAATCGAGAAAATTTGTGGGGCAGGTAGTTTTGAAGGGTGAGTTGTCCTAGAATCCCAATCGCGGCCATGGAGTTCAACTGATGGCTCAGAGTTCCAAAAAAGACGGCTTTAAACTAAAAATGGTAGCCTAGAATTCCAAGTATGACCTAAAATTCATCATGCTCGCTTGGGACTGACGATGGTGGCTTAGAACTGCAAATGGTAGCCCATTTTTAAAAGATGGCCAGAGAATTCAGTTGATGGCGCAGAATTTCAATAATTACAGCCTAAAATCTGAAAATATGACCTAGAACCCCAAAAAAAATGACCTGGAACCCCAGAAGGTAGCCTAGAATTCTAAATAGTGGCCTAGATCTTCGAAAAATGACCCGAATTGGAAATTGTGGCTTAGAAACCCAAATGGCGGCCTAGAATGTCAAAGAATGACCTGCAAATTTCAGAGTGATGGCCTAAATTTCCGAAACGGTGGCCTAAGAACCTGTAACCTGGCCTAGGCTTCTAACTGACGCTTTTTTTTCAAATTGTGGCCAAAAGCGGTCTCATGTTCAAAACGATAGACTAGGATCCCAAATGGTGGCCTAGAAACCCAAAAAACCCGGAAAAAAAATAACCCACCTCTCATTCATCCTCCTCAAACTTGGCACCAACACATACAGTATATAAATATTCAAAAACAGAGCGAAAAAGCTCAAACAGCACGGAATCACAAAAATAGCCCATCTCAAAAGCATCTCAATATTATAAATATCTCGTGCATGACTACAGAAATTCGTCACATTTCCACAAGATTTATACGGATCAAAATCAGGTAAATGATATCCAGGACAGGAATCGAATGGATCCGGTGGAAGAGATGAGGTCATCAGAAGAGAAGAGTATCCTGAATTATGAAACTAAGGGGAAAAAGCGAGAATAATCCTGGGTGACTATGAAATGAAGGGAGCTGATAAGAAACTCTAAAAGTGATAAGACAGAGAAAAAAAGAAAAAAAAATGTTTTATAGTTTAGGGTTACCGAACGTGACCCTCCACTAGTTTTTTCTGGAGGAGAGGGGGGAGAAATTGGAATGGATAAACAACAAATCTGACATTTTATTAGAGAAAAAAAAACAAGAATTTAGTATTGAATTTGATTATGGACGACACGAATTTCGTTTGCGTGGATTTGGGATCCAGTGTGAGTTTCAGTTTTTTTTTCAAAATTTTTTGAAAATAGAATTTTGGAATACGGTCGCGGACAAAAATGGAATGGAATTTCCAAAAATTTCGAAACACATATTGAAAAAAAAACATTTTTGTAAAACCATAAATTCGGAAAAAAATGCTTGTGCGGCTTGGAGCTAGCTGGGACAGAAAAGCTCTATCATTTAGAGCTGTATATCTCAATTGGGAGTAGAGATCTAAAAAAGTTTTAAACTACAAACTTGTTCAGCACATAATTGTTCATATTTTATTAGTTGACCACTTTTTTGTATGTCCATTGGCAACCGAGATATAGAGCTACAAACTCAAAGGAACTCTAGCCTGGCAAAAACGGCTCTTGCGGCCCACGTGAGCAGTATATTTTGGTTTGGAGTGAAGATAGAAAAAAGTGATCAACTACAAACTTGTTTAGCATCTAATTTTGCATATTTTATTAGTTGATAACTTTTTTGTATCTCTTCTGGGAGCCGAGATATGGGCTTCCAAACTTTGGACTGGGTTCAATATATTTCTTTTTCTCTGTTGCTGGTTTGAAGCGTCATATCTCGATCGTGAATTGAGTTACAAAAAACTCATCAACTAAAAAATGTGTAAAATTTGATGCTTAACACATCTATAGTTGGCCTTTTTTTATATTTATGCCTCTTGGCCAAGGTATAAGGTTCCAAGCTTCTTCAATAGGCTTCGTTCTCACATGGTAGCCAACAGTGTGGTATGCAAATGCGCTTCGCTGAGAAACAAAAATAGGTCTTCTTGTATTTACTTTTGACGCCTAAGTCTGACAAACTTTTTGAGCTTGGAACATTTCGTGCCTATAATTGTATCGAATTATGCAAAAAATTCTGCGAAAAAGTCCTAAAATCCCAGAAAATTGAAATTTAGCGAGAAAAAACCGGCCCGTTTTCGTTTCTCGGTAAAGCGCATTTGCATAACACTATTGGGAAACATGTGCGTTCTCAAAATGCGAAGGTGGCTTCGACAATTACTTGATATTTCCACTTCAAATAGTTGCACCACTAAGCATGAGCCTCACCAAAATCCCTCCACTTTTTATAAATTTCCAGTCGAAAAATCGGAACGAAATGGAAACTGAAAGATCAGAATTCATCGAAACTCCCCGCAAAACCGCTGGATTCGAGTGGGCCGCCGAGCCAGATGAGATGCTTTTTCCGTGTTGTGCCACCAAATGGGTGATGGTTGGAATCGCCGCGTTTCTCTGTGTCATTTCCATCATTGCCTGGATTGTCGCTTCAATTTACACCGGTTTTGTTTGGCTGGTAAGCAATTTTTTTTGGGTTTTCGATACAAAGAAATTTCAGACCATCTCGACTCTCTTCATGTTATTGATCATTTTCCTTCCCGAATACTTCTCGAATATCATCAATTTCGCCGTCAACTTTTGTGTCTGGGTACTGTTTCAAAAATCTGAAAAACTGAAAAAATGAAAAAAAAAATTTCAGGTAGCCTTTGCAATCTTCAGTTTCGTATATGCCATTAAGCATCTTGTCGATCGTGGTGACAAAAGTTATAATGGTGAGAGTCATGCCCTTCAATTAGAGGTCATCTTAATTTTATTCCAGAAGACTCGAAAAATCGTCTTATGGCCGGTGCAATCTTCGAATTCATCGAGTTTATTGGATCAGTCTGTGTGTGTATTTTGATGTTCCGAATGCTTTATTTCTATTATCAGAATCGTGGAAATGATAATGTGATGGCGGTTGCCGCTTGAATTTTTCTGAATAAAATTGATCTTTTTGATTTTTGATCCGGTTTTGATAGGAACAGCCCTTTCCCTCTCGGGCGGCAGAGACATAGGCGCCCTCTCCCCCTTCTCCTGTTTGCAAGGCGTGGCCTAGTGGCTAGCGCTGTTGTTTTGGAATTTTTGATCCCGAGTTCGACCCCGCGGGTGGCCAAATCTTTTTTTTTAATTTTTTAGCTTGTTACGGAAGAATGTGGGCATGAAGAGTTAAGAATGATTTATTCGGAAATTCTAACGATTCTTAAAATAATAGAATGTCATACGTGACATGAGGAGGATCACAATGATGGATAGCAAGAAAACGGTCAAACTACAACCAGTTCCAGCGGCAATGATCCGGTCTCCGTACGCTTGTTGTTCTGAAAAATCGTACCTGATATACGGTTTAGAAAAAAGAAGCACTTGCCTTTGTTTTTATCCCATACAGGTCTTTCCTTTTCCCATTGTTTCTTCGCAGTAATGCCGTAGTAAAAGACATTGACAAGTGTATAAATACAGAATGCAATCTGGAATTGGGAGCTTGGAAAACTACTGGAATTCTGAAAAAAACCCTACCCAAACACAAAGATTAATTGCAAAATTGATGATGTTTGAGAAGTATTCGGGGAGGAAAATGATCAATCCAATGATAAGTGTTGCGAGTGTCTGGAAGAAAAGTTCTATGATATTACAGAATGGTATCGTCAGATTAGTCAGGTCAGAAAGTAAGCTCTATTAGACTTATGGCGTCGCAATACCATTAGAACTCGTTGTTACGACACTCTTCTCCGAAGTATAGGAAGCAGTAAGCGTTCTATAGAGTGCCGTTTTATAGTATCACTGCATGGCACGTTTTCTAAACATACTAACCGACCAAGTGAAATAATCCCAAGCGGGTCCAGCCAAACACCCCCAATAGATTGCAGAAACAATCACAATCAATGTTGCTACCCCAGCCATCCACCAAATCGTCGGGAACAAAATGATGACTTCAGTTGGCTCGGCACCCCATTCGAATCCAGCTTCCTTGCGTGGAGGCTCTTCCTTCTCCGAACAACCACTTTCCAATTTCGATTCATTTTCGCTTTTCATCTTGGGGTGTCAAGGATTACTGTAGGTTTTGAGAGGGGACGGCTTACTTTGAAGAATAAGACGAGATTATTGTTGAATTGTGTCTGTGAAACTGAATAATGATTGGGCCTTGTTTTGAATTGGATGAGGAAAAAATTGTCACGTAAATTGTTCAAAACAAAGAAAAAAAAGATTTGGCCACACGCGGGGTCGAACTCGGGATTGATATGTTGTGAAAAGCAAAAGCGGTAAGATACCTTTTTTTTCTTTTTTTTTTCAATTACGTGATCTTTTTTCCCTCATCCATCTCAAAACAAGGCCTAACCATTATTCAGTTTCACAGACATAATTCAACAATAATCTCGTCTTATTCTTCAAAGTAAGCCATCTTCTATGAAGCCTACAGTACTCTTTGACACCTAGATGAAAAGCGAAAACGAATCGAAAGTGGAAAGTGGTTGTTCGGAGAAGGAAGAGCCTCCACGCAAGGAAGCTGGATTCGAATGGGAAGCTGAGCCGACTGAAGTTATCATTTTGTTCCCGACGAT